TGGGCACGGCGGGGGGAGGGGGCGGGGAGGGCACCGGCAGAGAATGGCCAGAGTTGTGACACATGTGGGGTAAGGGGAGCGCGGGGGAGGCACCCTGCCCCCAGCTCCAGCCAGGCTTGGCTCTCACACAAACGGGGGGGTGTGTGTGTATGGGGGGTGGGGGGATTCCCATCCTCAGATCCCGGGAAATTTATTTCCCGCCCCCCCAGCATCTGCCAGAATCCTTCTGCCAGCAGCAGGATGGTGCCCTAGCATGTTGCCTGGTGCCCCAGCACGCTGGCTGGGATCTTGCCCTAGGATGGTGGGCGCTGAGCACTGCAGGGTCTGTGCCCCACCGGGCTGACACTAACATTCTCAGGCTCACAGCACCACTGGAACAGCCTGGGTGAGCAACCCACACCAGGATTGGCAAGCTCAGACACCAAGCCTGGCAGCATCCTCTGACAGTAGGCACCCTAGATTCTAACTCTCAGCCTCCAGATGCAGTAAGATCGCACAGGATCTGGGATCCACGCTCACAGGCCCCGTGCACAGTGCAATCTAGACTATAGGTGTCGTCACTTCCAGCCCCCTGGCACTGGCATTTGAATTCATGCTCCCAGCCCTTTCACCCGGTCCCAGACTAGCAGTATTGCCAGGCCTGGGGCAATTGCTCTGTGACTCACACTCACAGGCCTTCCACTGCAGAATATAGTGAGAGCTGCACCAGGATTTGGGCTGCTCCAAAGTGCAGAGGGATCAGGGCCCCAAGGCAGTAGCACTGTTACTTGCACTGCCAATTCCCAAGCTCAGGGGACCTACCTCCAGGGAGAGTCACTGGGATTCAGAGTTCCTTGTCCTTCCCTGTTCTTGTACTGATGGTTGTCATAGTATCTGCACCTCTCCCAAACATTAAATGCAACAACCAGTATATCACTCTCTTTCCTCTCTTGGGGTGGGTAGATCATATTTGGTTTGGTTTTGTTCTTTAATAACCGATATTATTAAGAATGGGAATGTTGGTGTGGGTAACCGTGGACAAAGAGATGGTTTGCATTTAACTTGCAATGCAGCGGGGCTTTTAATGGCAAATGTTATTTCATCTGGCAATGAGTTTCATACTCTTGGCCTTGATCCTATGAATGTTCTGTTCCTCAGGGTCACAAGCCCTCCCCATCACTTGACAATGTCATTGTTTCATTAAACATATCCATCATATGAGCTCATCATGGCAGAGGGAGAGATGATTGATTGCTCAGGTCACTGGGGCCAACATCAGAGAGGACTTTGAATAACAGGTCAAAGACCTTGAACAGGACTCTGTGTTTAAATGGGATCTGGTGTGGGGTGTGGAGAGCCACAGTGATGCATTCCTGGCAAACTGAGTTGCTGAACAAACAAGCTGCTGCATTTTGAACTAGCTGGAGCTTTCTGAGAACAAAGAGCTTCATTCCTAGATGGACAGTTTTGCAACAGTGATGTCTAGATGTCACAAAAGTAAAGCTTGCCATCTGGAATCCAAGCCAGGTAGAATCAGGCGCAATCTTCCGGCCATTCCCAAATAGAAGATGACTACCCACTTCCCACTGGCATGTCTTATATGTGCTCAGTGTCAGCCAGTTGCTCTTCTTACAGATGCTGATCTTCATTCAGCATCAAGAAGGCTGCTAGATTCATAGTTTTTAGTGCAGAGGGATGGTGTTGACCATCTTGTTTGACCTACAGCTTAAACAGACTAGAACATTTAACCAATTTCATTTCCTGCATCAAGACCATAACTTCTGGTTTTACTGTAGCCTGTATTTTAGAAAGGTAACTATTTAAAGACTTCAGGAGAAAAAGAATCTGCCATATCCTTAGGTAAGTTGTTCCAGTATATGACAAAGGTTGTTAAAAATTTGCACTTTATTTGAATTAGTCTAGCTTCAGCACTCAGTGCTCAGATGTTGTCGATAATATTTGATGTAAAAGAGATGCCATATCATCTATATGGCTGGCACCTCTGACTTTAGGGTCTCGCAAGTTCTCACAACAGTTTATTATTAAATAGAATGGCTGAGGGCATTGAGCATTGTATATAACAGACTTAGATGTGGAGAAACAATTGTTCAGGAGTTTTTGCATTCCAAAGGACAGCTGGGTCAGCATTGGAATTCACACTGCCATTATCTGCATGCACTGGAATTCAAACACTGGGGCACTAACATTAGGACTTAGACTCCCATTCACCAGAGGAAATATACTACACTGCTATAACAAAAAGAATCTGTATCCCAGGCCTTGAGTGGAGCAGCATCTGCACCCATGACACAATTCAGACTACCAGCACCCAAAGACAGGACTGTCTGTGCTCCAAGATACTAGCTTGTGCCATTTGGGCATACAATCTCTAACAATGGAGTGATCCTATCTTTGGAGCACTGGCCCAAGCACCTGTCCTCTGCTCTCCATGCATGGTGGGATTCAAGCCTCAGGACACTAGTGCAAAGATTCACTTTGTTAACCCCTTGGCATAGTGAGGGGACACAGACCCCAATATCCATGCTCCTGCCCCACAGTGCCATAGATTCATGCCCTAGCACACTGGGAGTAATGCTCCTAGACCAGGCACAAAGCAAAATCTCCGTTGTGGGGCATTAGAACTAGGACTCTGCTCCTGAGCAGAAACAGATCCAGGATTTTCCAATGAGGGGTACAGGAGTCTAGCTGCACTGCAGAGGTGGCTACACTCTCTGCTCCCAGCCTCTCCTGCCCCCCTCCCCCACCCCAAACACTGGTGGGGATGCTCTGGGAGTCTCTGGGAACATTTTTAAGTCCCTAAAGCAGATGAAAATCTCCTCTCCCTTCCCCTTTGTGCTTAAAGGCATGCTGCCTCTCCCCTTCCAGCCCTCCACTACCTGCTACTGCTGCTTTCCCATCTGCTTCTGGGGGACCAGGCAAGGAGAGGAAAACTACTCTCCCACTCTGCTGTTGCCATGGTCCCAATCCCCAGTTGAGTCCAGCAGCCTACCTGGGGTGAGCAGAAGCAGCTCTGGAGCTTCCCCTGCACCTGGAACAGCAGGGAAAGCAGGAGCAACAGGTGGGGGAGAAGGGGAAGAGGAGGAGAGGGGTTGTATTTCTGAGCACCAAGGGGAAAAGGGTGGATTTTCACCTGCATTAGGGACTTGAAAAAGCCCCCAGAGGCTCCTGTGGTTCTCTCCAAACCAAAAGCGGGGGCGAGGGGAGGGGAAGGGAGGGGAAGGGAGGGGAGGGGGGAGTAGCTGCACAGCTACACCTCCTATGGATCCATTCCTAGCAGGAGCACAGGGCTTTTCAGTCTTGTTCCTCAAGGATGGAAGTTTACTCTCCTATACCAAGATAATGGCATTAGGATTCACACTCCCATCTGTCGAGCCCTGCAAAGTCTGAATCTCATAGCACTGTTACCGGAATTTACATTTTAGTCCCTAAGCAGATTATGGCCCTTGTCTTGGCCCCTGGTGCAATCTTGGAGACCCAGAGAACATAGGGAGCTGCACTGGGTACACTGACTCCTGATTCCCCTGAGGTGACTCATCTCACTGGGGCCTCAAGGCACTATAATTAGAGGTCATGCCCTCAGCTTCTGTGCATCATGTGACCCACACCCTAAGACATGAGCTTTGGAGAGGAGCATCACTCCACTGTGGCATCTTTGTGTTGAACTGCACTTACATGTTTTCCAAGAGAACTCAAGGTCCTTTCTAAATATAATGGCTTAAGAGCAATGTAACACCTACATCAGTGAGATGTTGTGGAAAGAGAAAAACTAATAATCCCCCCCCCCACATCTTCAAGACCAATGATACTACCCAGATCTCTTCATAGGGTGATCCTCATGTGTGAAAGGGGCAGTTTGCATTAACAGATGGATGAAATCTTTTTTCTCTGTGAACCTTGCTTAAATATTTAGCAGAAGCAGCCTAAAAATATCCCCACTTAATGCATCAGCAACGATTCAGACACTCTTTTCTTGGTGATAGTTGCCTTCTCGTTACCACCCCATCCAAGGGCTCCGGGGCTGTGGATCTCCTGGTCCTACCACTGGAGTGAAGCTTCTCATCCACTGATAGGAACAGACTTACATTTAGAAGAGGGTTGCAATTTGTTGTTTTGAGATTTTAATTAACTAATGCTAAGAGAGACTAACCAGGAGGTGATGGCAAAAGCCACTGAAGGACTCCATAGGGCTTTAGAAGAGAAGGGTGTACAACAGTTATTGCCTGACTGACCTGGCCATCCATGTTGACTCAGCCTTGAGCTTTAATCATACATAC